TAAATAATTTCAAAATACAAGAATACTCTATGTAAAAATGTGAACAAATGGTATGAGAACTACCTGTATAAGTAATTATCAGCATACACAAGTCATTATAACAGGAAGGTGAATGAAAATAAACATATACCACAGACCTAATAGCAAGAATTTGATAATAATACAATATCAAGGCATAATGTTAACTCCATGATCACTGCACATTTGAAGTTAAAGGTGGATGCAAGTTTCACGGGTTACTCTACCATATTATGCCCAGACATCTGTACTTGCTTGTGTTCATGCTAATGATATAATTGCGAATGGGCTTTAACCCTTTCCATGCTATACACAAGGTTGTTTCCTTACAACAGCAGCCTTCAGCTCTGACTATCTTTCAGTAGTGGTAGTGATGAAGGAAAGCTAACCAGGTTATCTCTATAAAGAAACTGTTTGTGGCTTTCACAATTTAAATCTGCATGACAAAACTGATATCTAGAAACAAAAGGAGTCATCTGGGATGTGGCACATATAGTTTGGCGCACAAGTACAACTGTTTCATAAGCATGTGCTGAGGCTGTGCCATAGCTCAAGTGGTTAGTTGCTGGCTTCCCACCGCGGCAGCCTGGGTTCGATCCCAGGTCTGGTCAAGTGGGATTTCTGGTTGACAAAGTGGCACTGGGGCAGGTTTTCTCCAAGTGCTTCGGTTTCCCCTGCCAATCTTCATTCCACCAATTGCTCCACAATCACCCTCACCTATCATCTGGGGCTGGTACAATAAATAGGCCAGAAATGGCCACAGTACAAGGGACTTAGTCCCACCCCACTAGCAATAAACAAAAATAATAAGCATGTGCTGCCTCCAACTCCAAATTAGAAGAAAATCTTACAAGATATTTTAAACTGAACTATTCTGAATGGGAAGAGCTGTATTCTTAAAAACCCCTGAATGATAAGTCCGAACGGGAATATAAATGCCCATACTTATATATGTTTCCATTGTGATTTATGAGCACCACAAAGAGTTTCAAGTGGTTAAAAACTGCAGGATAATTTGTTCTTACTGATATTATTAAACATCAATGATGTTTGGATAATAAATTGGTACTCCTTGGCACAAAAATTAATTTACAGCATGCAAAGTGTTATAATTATGTTATTGTAAAGCCCTCCAGCTGTCTTACTGAGAAGAATGTTTTACACATTGTATTCCATGATTCAACTAGTGCTCTGACAGTTAGCTCTAGATATACTGAAATCACTCTATAATGACAATTTTATCTTAAATCAAGTTTCCTCTTCCTTTGCTGTCGAGCTGTAGGGAAAATATATCTGTGTACAGGGTCAGGCAGGGAGGTGTGACATATTTGTGACAGGTATAAAAGTGGGGGAAGGAGGACGATCACATGCACAGTGGTTGGTAGTTACTCGCTCTTAGACGCCATTTCAGTAGCCATGGAACTGTGGATGACTGAACATCGCTCCTTTGTTTTTGAGACATTTATTCAAACGCGTAGTTCGGTGGTGCTTACACAGTGCAGATTTCATACTCACTTCAATGTTGGTCAACATGGCGCCATTCTGTCTCGAAACACAATATTGAAGTGGGTGAAGAGCTTCAGGACAACTGGATCTGTGAGACCGGGTACAACTCGGGGAGGTGATTAAACCGTCAGAACTCCAGAAAACATCAAAAGAATTTGATAAGCTGTGGAGACCAGCCCATGTCGATAGGCGGTACTGGACGCTCACGCTCTACAGATGTCAGAGAGGTCAGTTTGCCAAATTTTACATTTTGACCTTCACTATCATCCATACAGAGTCATGGTGGTTCAAGAACAGCAGCGAGAATGATTTCATATGGAGGTTTACATTTGCTGAAAGAATGCTGAAGTGCTGAGGGATGACACTGTTCTCATCACAAGTGATGAGGTGCATTTTCACTTGACAGGAAGCGTCAATAAACAAAATTTCTGGTATTGGTCAGCAAACAATCCCCAAGAACTCCATCAAAGACCCCTACATTGCGAGTGCGAGCGAGTCACTGTGTGGTGCAGAATGGCCCAATTCGGAATAATTGGGCCCTACTTTTTCATGGAAGGCAGACGCACTGTAACAGTAAACTCACAATGTTACATGGCAATGTTGTGCAAGTTCTTACTGCCTGAATTGCAAAGATGTCGCATCGACCTCACTACAGTTTGGTTTCAACAAGATGGTGCTACTTGCCATACCTCAAGAGAATCAATGGCCTTATTGAGAAAACATTTTCCTGGGCACCTCATTTCAAAGCATGGGGATGTGGAGTGGCCCCCTTGATCCCCAGATCTTTTAGCGTGTTATTACTTTGTATGAGGCTATCTGAAAGCTAACGTTTACATTGACAAACCACGCGTTCTTGAGGCCCTTTCAGATGCCATCACCCGAGAAATTCGAGTGATTCCACTTGCTATGATTCAAAGAACTATGGACAACTTTTCCGCTCGTCTGCAACAATGCTTGGACGATAACGGCCGCCATTTGCATGATGTTATTTTCCAAAAATGAATTTAAATTTTCTTATTTTTTGTTACAGCATCTTAAATGGCATTATACATGTACTCTTTAAAAACATTAAAATTTGTTATTCGTCAAAAAAAGAATTGTATTCTAGTTTTCTGTAAACCATCACACCTCCCTGCCGGACCCTGTACATACATCTTCATTTCCCAAACATTCTTCAACAGCCCTACAGAAACACATGAGAAAATTGTTTATTTAAAAATTATAAAGCAGTGTGATAAATGTTATAAATATCTGGATAAAAGCTGGCTCAACAATTTGCCATAGTTCTGAAAGCTTGATATTATCATATAAAAAGAAAGGAATGCATATTAATCACAAATACACTATTTTAGAAGACATGCACATCCAAATACATATATGTGCACACACACACGCACAAACATACCAATATTCCATGCACAAAAATTATGTACTTTATGTTGTATACATAAAATAGCTCTGTTCATACAATTAGTAACACTGTACATACTTCAAACAGTAAATATCTTCTATGTTCAAAAGAGAAAAAAATATTAACAAATACTCAGAATGTTATTAACATCTTCGAATGTGCTGAAAATACTGAAATGTCACATTGTGTTCTGTTATTAGCTTAGAGGATATACAAGTTTCTTGAAACAGTTATTGTTACAAAAGGGTTTTAGCATTGTACCGTCACTACACTCTCCAAACAATTACATCTATACAGTATTAATATTCACTTGTTCCACCTTCATGAAAGTTTCTTAGTGAAGGCAAAGTTCTATCACATATGTACAGATGGCACAGTAGTTGCATGATTCATGCTGCACCAGAGAGCATCCGATTTTTCTCCTTCCCATCTGTGTTGTGTTATACTACTAAAATTCTTCCACACAGAATATGCAGCATTTTTGCTGCTACCTACAAAATTATGGGTACAGTTATGCTTCATGCATTTTTTGGCTTGACTCTTCAGACAAGTTTGGAATGAGGTCCTTTTATAGTGCTTGCATGTATGCTGTGATACAGGCAAATTTCCAACGACAGGTGAGTGCTGACAAAGGGGAAAACAAAACCCATAAAAATCTAGCATACCAGTTCTAGAGTTTCTTTGTTTCACTCCCACTGCAAACCTCTGTTGTGATGAATGATAAATAGAGATTAGTAGCCATAAGTGAAGTACAACTGAAGTACACAGAAGTAACGTGCTCCCTGTCACTTTGGCCAACCATAAATTCCCCAAGTACTATATGGGATAATCCCCAGGCCTCTGTAGTGAGAAGGAAACATCTTGCAGGCACAGGAATAGCATGGCCTCTAATATATGATGGGACGAACATAAAGTTCTGTCTGTGCTCGTGCATCAGACCATGAAGGTTAAGGGGAGAGCAAGGCAAATTATTCTTAACTTCAGTACTAGTTTGAGGTGAGTGGTGAGCTTCACATTTTGGCTACTTTACCCTCATAGTCCCCAGAGCCAATCTGAACACAGTAGCAAAGAGAAGAATACCTGCCCTTGCTGAAAGCTGAACCATGGTCATCCAAGCATTTTAACGACTCAACTCTCAAGTATTAATGTCATGGAAAATGTTGCTTCTTAACCCTTTTGTATCAATAAAACAAACCACTCTACTTCTTAGATTTCTTTTATCAAAACAAATACACGTACAGCAAATACATCAGTAAGGATATGCAAGTCAGAACAAAAGGTTAAATTACTAAACAAGTGCATGATCAATTACCAATCTTATTTTTAATTTTCAATTAGCTGCATAGAACAACTTGACAAACATCCAATACATCCTTAAAACCCTTCATCTAATGTAGACTAGGGCTGCCCAAACCTTCAACAACTAAAATGGCCTTTCATTTCTGCTCAACCCCCCACAAAACCCCTAAGTTATGCAGTAAATAGGCATTTTATGCATGTTTTAAATGTCCCAATAACTAATACACTTTCATCTGCCAGGTATGGTTATGTCCCACTTCCATTACAAGCTTCTTTCACTTATTCCTATCTTCACTCCCTACTGAAAAATGTAATACATCTGAAATGTTGTAGTAAGTCAATCAGATGATGGATATATGCCACTTGAAATCAGTTGTACGAACTTATTAGATTAAGTTAGTGTGTTTATCATTAGCACCACATACAATATTTACAGGCAAGAAATATGAGCACAAATTAATATGGTAAAAGTAAAGCTATCCCTGTAACAGGCTGTGAAGGCCCACAGGGTTGTGGGACATCGAGGCTCCCACATTTTCTCTACACAATTGGCTCACAGATGGCGGTAAGTTGTCAGCTTTATGTGCCGGCCGCCCTTTACCCCCCAGGAATATTCCTGGTATTCCTTTCTGTTAAAGGCTGAGTTTGACCCCAAGGCCATAGTGTGGCTGGATGGATTACATAAACTAAAAAATCCAGGAATTCCTTCATCAGGAATCAAATCCACAACCTTACAGCTTGTAGCATAGTGCCTCAACCAACTATGCTACCACAATTAATATAATTAAAGATCTCAATAAAAATGCAAAAGGCATCTAATCAAGTTTCAGAAATTAATTTATCCTCCAAGATGATTAAAAAATTGGAGCTTTTTAAAATTAGAGATGTCTAATTATGAATTTTGAAAATTGTTAACAAGTTTCTTGAGAAGCTGCTTGATTTTACAGTTCAAACTTTTATCTGCTAAGAATTTTCACTCAAATCACGTCCGTAGTATTTCTAATGAAGAAACTGTCATAAGCCTCGAGTATTTCATCATGCAAGCTCCAGTTCAATCTAATACCTCAAGAAAAAGTAATTTTCAGGGCATGGAATTTTGGAACAGAATGAACCTCTGCAAAACAAATATTTTACACTTACACACACTTAAACAGCAAGTAATAAAAACATAAAGAAGAATTACCTTACTTTGCTGTAGAATCACTTAAAGTTGCATTTAACACCTAATATAAAAATTCAATGCAAAACTCTGGTGATATATTTTTCATACATGTTTAAAAATGTATACTTCAGAGACACTCATTCATGGCAATATGTGGCCCTGATGCAAACTGTTGGCTGATGCTGTGGCATCTGTTCTACGGAGGGTTGCCTTGTTGAAATTACATATGGATCCCAGCAGAGCAGTCCGTTCAGATGCTACACTTGGCACCAACTGCACTGGCAATGGTGTTGAGGGGACTGAAGGGGGAGGCGGAGGGGAAAACTCAATTAAACCTGACAATATAAAAATTACACAAATTGAAATGAAACCTTATAAACTGTATGCTGCAGCAAGTCAGTTCAATGTATGTTTGCTTTAAGAAATGTGATAAACAACTATTCATGCATATACATCACACGGCTAAAACATAAAAGTACAACATATGGTATCTATCAGACAAATCATCATGCAGGAGAGAAAATAATATCCTGCGACAGCCATTAATTTTAAAAGGCCAACATTTTCATATCCTAATTCCAATAATTCTGTAACAAAAATAACAAAATATTCTTGACCATAGGAAACTTTGTACAAACATGTCTTACTTTATGACTTCTCACATCATAACCCTGTAATATACAGATGATTTTAGGACTGATGGAACAATGGGTGAAAAATGAAAATAAAACATGCAGCTTAAGATTTATCGCACTGTTAAATCATGTAACAATTCACTTTTTATAAAATAATTTTTTGGCTATTCTTTGCAAGTGAGAATCAGATTTTGAACATTATCCATAACAAACTGTAACTCCCACCACTTTGCATCACCACCTCGCATGATCTAGAGGAAGTGCACCATTGCAGCTACATGTCACCTATTTGCACGTTATCCCAAGCATCTTTTCCCTTTTAGCATATAGTGTAGGACCTGGTATATGTTCAAGCCATCAAAGTCTGCATCCATTTAGTTCTAGGCTGCTTCAACAAATTTATCATTAGGTTCCACCTGTAACTTGCTTCAAATATTTTCACTCACCTATGGTCTGACTGAAAAGCTCACAACCTTGCTTTTCCTTATTTTCATCCATTTCTCAGTGCAACCCCAACTTCACTTCCTCATGTCAAAATTGGTTTTCTTCTATACAGTAAATGTTGTTTTATATATATAAAAAACTACCAAGACTTGGAAATTCCTATCATTACATCGGTAGCTTGAACAGATTCCAATATTTTTTACAACAGACATTTTCATCATCAAACGACTTGTAGTAATTAGCATGAAAATAAAATACAAACAGAAATGTTCACAGAAATGTGTTCCTTTTTCTCCTGTTGAAATTTTCATGTTAAATTTTAATTATATATTTTATAAATTATTATTCACAAAAGTAATCTGTATTGATATTACAATCTGAACTGTACATATTAACATATAAATAAATCTGGAGTATTTCTGATGGACATGTGTCTATATAATCCATGCTTCCAAAAGGTATCACGCATCTTACGAATAAATTAAATTGAAAGTAATAGCCTTATCTGTTCATTATGCTGTTCAGATTCATTGTAATAAATAAGAAAAGACATTAAAGACATGTTCACAATGAACAGTCACATACGTCAAGTATCTTGTAATCTACTAAAATATTAAAAATGCATTTAGATTTAATATTAATAAGAAATATCTTCTCAACAATAATGACTGTCAGAAAGCCAACATTCTTCTCATAATTTAGTATACTGAAATAAAGAAATTCTGGAAGACCTAGAAGATGTATCAGCCAACTAATTTTTAATGGGGATAAAACAGGCGACTGAACCTAATTCTTGAAGTGGATGACAATCAGAGAGATCATTCTTTATTACTATCACTGAATAAAAGTTACAGTCAAGGTCCATCCAATTCATATGCAGAGGAATCGGATGTATCAGTCATGGAATTATAATTGCAATCCCAGCTATGGAGGAAATGTCATTATGGAATAAACATAAAGAGGATTTATCCCATAATTTTCATTGAGATTGAGAGAAGGGAAGTGCCCATTCCTGCAAACAATCTCTCAGTTCTATGCCTGTGTAACATCTGTCATTTCATAATGGAACAAATTTCTTCTCAAAAAACTAAAGTCACTCTGCTGGTCAAAAAATAACTTCCCACGGCACAGTTTCAGTATGGTGTTCACAAGCACATGTCATTGGACCATATCCTAAGCCAGACTAATGTAGTCCACATTCAAAACCATATTCTTGATCCATTTTAATATTATACTCTCATCTACACCTAGGTCTCCAAAGTAGTCCCCCTCTCTTCAGGTCTTCCCACTAAAATTCTGTATATATTTGCATACCTTCCATGCATGCTACACATCCCACCCATTTCTTCCTCCCTCATTTGATCACCCTAGGAGTATATGGTGAGGAGTAAAAATTAGGTTGATGTCATTAGGTAATTTTTTCAAGCCTCATGTTATTTCCTCTCCCAAGGTCCAAATATTAACCTCATCACCCTATTTTCAAACATGCTGAAATCTATTTTGTGATATCAAAGAGGAAGACAATAATCTGTCATGGTCAAGCAAACACCAAAGATGGGATACATACAAAAATAATTTGGAACAAATAAGCATGCAACTACTACAACGCTCACAATGATCTAGACCTACATAGTACAATAGACCTGATTTCTCCTGCTATCATCCATGATCAGCTTTTCAGTCCTATGAAAAGGAGACAAGATCCACAAAATACAAACCAACTTCACAAAAATATATAAATACAAGGACACTTTCCTGCTACAAAGCCAATGCTAACAAACTTGGATCTCAACCAGCAAAATATTAAAGTACTGATTCACAACAGCAGGGATTGAAAAAAAGTGTTACAGTAGGAGTAATGAGATACATCTACTTATTTAAGAATTTAAGGATTATAATTATATTTATTTCTGTTGTAACAGTTCTTTCATGATCCTTAGAAAGACTCCCATTTCACTGGTATTCAGAACTCTTTTAATTCAGTACCTATGGAGTATGCAAATATGAATCTCTGGACATCCTGCTCTGTAAGCAATGGCCTGAGAAAACTAACACATGAATACACATATAACTGGAATGATTCTCATCCTGTCAAAAATGTCCAGGCACCAGGGTACCTTACACATAAAATTGCCAAGGCACAAAAGACTACACAAAAACCAGCTTTAAAGTTCATTTTATAATTATTTATTATTATTATTATTATTATTAGAGGGGGGTGGGTTTCCCCATGCACTTAGACCAGTTATTGGTCCATTGTGCATCCCCCTTTAATTTCTACTGTCGCCATACCCTACCGGCACTGGTGCGTGCTATCAGCCCCGTGCAGCCAACAAGGTCAGCCCTCGGTACCTGATATTTCCCCCATCTACCAGGGGCATTGGAAACTACTTGGGCGGGAAACTTGTTACCTAATTTTGCTCAGAGGTCTCCTAGAGACATGAGGATCTTTTACATGCCGTAAATCTACGACACGGGACCCACGGCTTAAAGTACCTCCCGGAGGACTTGTTCCCTGAATTTTTCTGCCCTTAAAAATTCCACGACCTCTGCCGGGTTTGAACCCACATACCTTGAGTCATGAGGTGGGAACATTACCCCTAGACTACGGAGACCGCTCATCTTATAATTAAATCAGGAATTATATCTGTAATAGGCTGCAAATGAAGATTAATCTTGTTTTTCAACCCCTGCATAGTAGGAAAGTACTTCATTTTCATGCAAGTACTTTATAAATCAATCTAAAACACAAAGCTCTTCAATTTGCATGGCTTCTTTCATAAACAGAAAACAGGCATTATATAAGACAACAATTTGTGAATACAGGTGACTTAGTATGCCAATTCTTAGAGCTTCTGTATTCATGTTTAAAGTTACCACAGTTAACTGACACTTAATCTTACCTGAGGGTGGGGTCACTGTACCAGCTGATGTAGCAGTGCTGGTACTATTGGGGCTTTCAGATCGCTCTGGAGATTTCCCATTTGGTATTAACTGCTGCTGTTGATGTTGTTGCTTCTGAAGCTGATATTTTTTTGGAAACAAATAAATGCAAAATATGAATTCATCAAGAACTGGCTGACCACAATCAGAACCACATATTACAACACATCTTCAAAATGGAATTAAGGGAATGTGTTCAAGTCACATATAACACTGTAAAAGGTAAAGCTATCCCTGCAACAGGCCGTGGAGGTCCATATGGTTGTCAGACATCAAGGCTCCCACATTTTCTAGACAAATCGGCTCACAGATGGCGGTCAGGTTGTCAGCCTTACACGCTGACCGCCCTTTACCCCCAAGAAGATTCCTGGTACTCATTTTTGTTAGAGGCTGAGTCAACCCCTGGACCATAGTGCACCTAGAAGGCTTAAGTCAACTGAAAAATCCAATGACCTCATCGGGAATTGAACCAGCGAACTTCTGGCTTGTAGCACAGTGCCTCCCTCACGTATAACCTGTATGCAATGCAATCCAGTGGAGTGTAAATCAAGACAAATTACATTAACAATGTAACAGCAGGAGGTTACACAAAACTTCTGACGGCATACACTTAAACTATAAACCTTGTTATTACATCAGTGACATTCTGGAAATCTGTAAGTTTTATACAAATATTGCACAAGATATAACACATGTATTTCTTGGACTTCTAAAACTTTTATGCAAGACATCACATTAATATACAGAGCAACAAAATAATAAAATTTACTTAGGCCATAATAGCACTTAAAATTAAACACGTAACTAAAAGTTACACACAGTAATACATAAACATTAAATATGCTTTACATAAAGTTATATCAAAACATGACAAGTATTTGAGATATATGCAAGTCCATTTATATTCAAAAGTGAAACTGTCTTCAAAATGAAACAAATTAAATCGAAATCGAAATGTGAGCTCTGATGTTCTCATGGTAGTCTCGGATTATGATCACTCTCAAAATTAAAATGTTACTGTCTTTACACAAAAAAAGGCTATGTCTTGCTTAGACAGACACAACATTCAGATAAACTTCAAGTACAGACAGAAACTCTTACCTGCTTTTGCTTTCTCTTCTTCTTCTCTTCCTCATTACTAAGAAGCTCCTGAACTCTGGCAAGTCTTTTTTGATTCCTCACCTAAATAAATCAGAACAGAAACAAATTAAAAACATCTGCATTGCAAAACCACCTAACAACGTCAAAGAATGAAGACACACCCAGCCCTGCTAGCCTAGAGGCTGCAAGGCTGATGCTGACTATCACATGAAATGACTGGAATTTAATGAAAGTACAGTATTACTAATCTAATAAATCACAACCACAAATAGAACTAAGACATACATATTATAGCAGCACTGTATAACATGTTTAAGAAAATTATGTCAGAGAATACTGAAGTACATATGAGTGAAATTAAAGTTTTTAAGAGTTTTATTTTATTTCACAAGCTGACTTCATGAATACAGTCCATGTGATCAAGCCAGAAACTGATAAGCTGGCTTAAATTCAATGCAAACTGTTAAGGAAAGATTAAAACTTTCCTATGTTAAAACTAGAATGTGATCTGTAAGTTATCACGATAATTTACACACAGGTTAATTCAGTACTTGCTGCCCCAGATACGATTACCCTCTCCTAACAAAAAGCTACCACTGGATTCTGTTTTCAGCCTATATAAACAAGTTCATGCTCACATAACCTACTTCTCTCAAATCATTTTATTTTATTATCCTATCTATGATACAGGATGCATATACTCAAAACTGTATACATATTTCTTATATTTGGTTTTAAGATTAATTTTTTTCTTCTGTGTGTGTATTGGGGGGGGATATGGCACTATAAAAATCATATAAACTAATAACGTGAAATCACAGTGTTCAAACTTCAGACTGTCTAAGCATTACTGCAGATGAGGCAACAAGGTATTTCAAGCATATATCATCATGAATTGTGCACGCAAGCATGATTCATCCATTTCAACTGAAAAAGGGGGGGGGAGGCAAACTGAAATCAGTGGAGTGTAATAAAGGGATATACACAGCACGGATGTATATTCTTGCCTAGTGTTCTGTATAGGAAACATCATTAAACTGTGATATAAAAAATTTTTAGCATTTAATCAAAAGTTAACATACCAAAATTGAGTAAGTCATGTATTACTTTCGGGAATTTTTCTTCCCTTGTCTTTAAATTATATTTTCTTTTTCTTAGAATTAGAGTATGTTTATTCACCGTGCTACAAGTGCATTAATGTAAGCACTTATTCGAGCACTATCCACATTGTCCTCTGTATATCAACTGCATAACTCCTGGTATGCGAACTAAGTACTAAGATGTGAACTTCAGTAAGAAGAAGGGGTTGTAACATTTCCAGAATTACTGGGACTGAAGTGGTCTTCCTACATATACCTAGAAACATAAGTTTCAGTTTGTCAATGGTATTTATATATAATGCCATTTGAAAAATTGTGTTTCTGTCCCATGTTCACAACTACATACTATTAAAAAAAAAAAAAGATCAACCTTTGCTCATTTGTAATTATGTCAGAGAAAACTATACATCTGCCTATTCTCCACTTCCAAGTTGCATATATGTAACATGCTAAGTATTCTGTACCATTTTCTGCTCGTCCTTTAATCGTGTCTCAATCTTCTGATGAGCTACTTTCAAAGCTTCTTTGACATGTGACGAGAACTTGAGGTGTGGCCGGTCAGACTGTGTGGAGTTGGTGAGTTGGTGTGAGGATGCTAGTTCAGTGCTATTAAAGAAGGGGTGTGTCAGAAGAGCTGCTATTGTTGGCAATCCACCTTTACATGCTTCAGTGGACAGGACAGATTCCAAAACAGACTCTACAACAAGTCAGAGAATTACTGTATCAACATAGGGCCCAGAGAAACCTCATTATGTTCTTCCAAAAGTGTAATGACAATATACCTGCAATTACAATTGTAAAATATAAAAGGAATTAATAAAAATCTACTAAAATCCAATACATGAGCTAGTGATTTCTGGAACTGACATTTAAATCATCATGCAGTGAGATATGAACCACTGGTTTCATCAGGAACCTCTCCCTACATTCCCTACTCTATCCCCTTTTCTCCACACTTCGCTTATTTGTCTATCCTGATGTGGTTGTACCAAGTTCCTCCTAAACAATGGTCAAGATCTACCAGAGTATGTATCATAACATTCAAGAAAACAGTAATCGTCTTTATGTACAGCATTGTTTCAAACTAACATCCAGCCCGTAACAATGTACAGGCCTTTATTTTGTCAAATTTGATTTCAACCACAACACATCATTCAGAAAAATTATCTACCCTTGAGAGGAGCTTGATCAACAACAGTAACCCATCTTTTCCATTTGCTATGCAATTTAACTGCAACAGTTTCTGACACCAGTAAATAAATTAATTTTGAGTTCCTTTGAATTTATTACACTGTACTACATTAAGCAGAGCAGTAACCATTGGAATAAGATTCTATCCTACCAGGTAAGAGGAACTGGAAGGTCCTGGTAAGACAAAATTCATTCACTGTGTTTAGGGTCCAGTCACTCAAATCTAGACTCACACCTCACTGAACACAAATCAAAGTCAACTCTCTGCCATGCTTAGACTCTGGGAATGTTGGTGAGTCCACACAAAGTACTGATTCCATCTGCTGGTCAACATTCTATCACACCACAACTGGGAATAGCACATACTGTTCAAGGATATACAAGCACACAGAAGCTCAGAAGATTAATAAAAACATAACAGAGTGTTTGCTACAAACAAAATACACTGTGTGAAGCAATACATTAAATTTGTAAGTGACTATTCATAGTCCTTTCCTATGTACATGAAGGGATGCAGCTGTCATTCTTATATGTGCAGTTTATTTAGATTAAATTATCTGTCTCTAAACATGCTGATTAATGAAGTCAATAATAGAAGCAATACAAGGAAGATTTACACAAGTAAAAACATCTGTACACTGAAGTATGAGCGCAAGTGAACATGTCCTTCACTAATAAGGAAAGGGTTAAGAGGCAAGATTTGCACCATGTAAGATCGAGGAATTTGTGTGACATATAGTAACAACACAATAACAAGTAACATGAAGATTTCTGTCTTTTAGTATATAACACTGTGGAGTCCAGTGAAATTCAACCAGCATTTCACAGGAATCTCCACTATCAAGGTCAAAGAGTAAGCCATAGTGTTATATCCCAAAAGATAAAACTCTTCACAGCCACTACTCTCAAATAATCACTTGCATTCTGTTGAAGTAACTATACTCACTTAATAAAGGGGGACAGCTTGAAGGGAAAATATCACAGACAGATTCGTGCAGAGGATGGCCAAATGCCATCTCATACAGAACATGACCAAAACAATACACATCAATGGCCTCCAGGGTATGTATCTTCTTATGCTGGACAAAATATGGCCTGTAGTAAGATGGCAGACCCAGAACACCATTCTCGATATCCAAGAGCTTCACGTGACCATTTTCCAGCAAGATATTACCGGTATGGAGGTGACCTGCAAAATGCAGAATTCATTTCTTACCATTTGTGTTTATGTTATCACACACAGCAGTGACTCTCAAACCCAAGGAACACTCACTAGATAATATGTCAGCAGAATATTAACAATGATCAAGGCTGCCTGATTCTTAAATTACTTTAGGATGATGTTTCAACTGAAAAGATTATACAGTGTTGAATGAAATGGTACAATATCATAAATGATGGACATATAAGGATTTTGAAGGAGATAGTCATAGTGTGATTGTATTAATCCACCATTTGGCTAACGAGAAAGATGAAAACAATAAAATATATCAGGATATTCAGTAGCCCAGTCATATTCAAACTGGGTACTCCAAAATACAAGCACAGAATATTAACACAGAATAAAGCTCTTCAGTTTTTAGAAACCACGTGAATCCAATATAGCATGGCAATTATTTGTTATGATATTTGCTTACATATTTCCAACAGTTAACTGTGTCAGATGACAGTTTAACACACTGACCAAATCTCACATAACAGACAGAAAGAGTGAGAGAGACAAGGTGTGTGTGTGTGTGTGTGTGTGTGTGTGGTGTGTATGTGATAGAACATTATAAAGATAGCTACAGACCCAATGCATACTGTATGGTCACTATGAACAATGACATCTGGAAAAAGAGAACCCATACTAATATACTAACAGAAAAATACACTCATAAAATAGTACTACTGACAAAAATATACCAATCCTAGCTGGGTATCTTCCTAGTACAACATGGATTTAAGATGTTAGTTCAGTGATTGAAATTTGCAAAAACTGGAGGAAGAAATTCTATTTCGATCTGTGACAAATACAGTAATCCCACTTTGTATGACTTTGTTCCTGGACTTCGATCATCATATGGTATTCTCAACAGAACACAGTGTTTTGGAAGTTAGGTGTATTTCCACCCTGAAGAGAAAATGTGAAAGACACCTACTCAGGTGGGTTCACTGGGAAAAGTTAATCTCACTCACTGCCCTCTTAATGGAGCCAATCAAGCAGGCACCTCTCCACCCTTATACCTCAGGAAGGAAACAAACCTAGTGTCTGAAATAGTGTTCTGTTTGGGATACTAGATGGACACAATTCAGAAATCCAGTAACCCCAGAATAATAGGCCACCATCAAAATCCTTTAGAACTGACATATAGTAATCCAATAATGAAAATAATTATTTACATTAAATAAATCATGTCTGTATTTGTACATATAACAAATCGGTTACCACTTTTTGCACACATATGCACTGTTTCCAGCCATTAAGTGTGTAGCTTACCAAAAGGAAGTCCCTTTTCACTGAGGAATCTGAGCACTTCAAGAATTTGCCGCCCAAAGCATGCCATGTCACTTAGAGACAGAGGTTTGTACTGTTTTGGGTTGCCATATTTCTTCATGAACTGCAGCTTTGGTTTTGCAGCGCACAGAAGATCCCGTAAGCTTCCTGCATTGTTCAGTTCACGCACCACAAACCCTCCAACTTCATTGCAGTTCAGGAACTCAATTCTTTCAATATAAGGATGCTGAAAATGAAGCATCACTACCTTGGACATACATGGACATACACAGATTACAGCATCAGACATGAACTTAACAAGAAACAATACAATCTGAAACTAAGACATTTGGGGAACTGAACACTATATAAAAATTAGCAGAATAAAGATACAGTGACTTGGATAAACAGTGAGATTCCTTTCAGACATCAAGATGATGAATAAACAGCCACTGAACTGACTAAAAAGTAAGTGGAAAGGCCAAGTGGGGAAGCCATACAAAACAGGGCATGGAAAGAATAGACATATAAAAAAAAGTATGTCTTGTGAGATGACAGAGAAGACAACCAACCCTAGCAGAAAGGCCAATGGATGATGATGAGCAGGAGGAGAAGGAAGAGGATTACAACAGTGATGATGATAACCATAATGACAGTAATTACTTCATGAAAGAATTTACTTCATCTATCTCTGTAATTCACAGAACCATAATAAAAAACATATCACATCTAACAAATTTGTGAGTGAAATATGTGTAGGCGAAATAACTTTTTAAATTCTACACTTTCTCAAAAAGATTACTAAGAAAAGGTTCATAATGGAGCACATAATGACAACAGTTACCTGAAGATTTGATATGCTCTTGAATACCCCCTGTAAATCACGGTCCTCTAGATACTTGTCTGGTCCATGCTCTACCCATGACAGCAACATTTCTTGTTTTGGATTAACACGGCTTTTAACAAGAAAGTAATGTTTCCGCAACCTCCATCCAATTTCTGGCACAGGTTTTACTACTTCATAATTCATCTCACTTCTAAGTGTCATTGATACATGCTGTAGTGCCACCTCTGTAATACATTCCACAGAAAATTACTTATATTAATCAATACCACAGACTATATGAATAACTATCACTAATATATTTCCTAGGCCGTGACACAGCTCAAGCAGTTAGTCGCTGGCTTTCCACCGAGGCAGCCCAGGTTCGATCCCGGGTCTGGTCAAGTGGGATTTGTGGTGGACAAAGTGGTTCTGGGGCAGGTTTTCTCCAAGCACTTCGGTTTCCCCTGCTAATCTTCATTCCACCAATTGCTCCACAATCGCCCTCACCTATCATTTGGGGCTGGTAAAATAGGCCAGAGGTGGCCGTAGTACAAGGGACTTGGTCCCGCCCCACTGGAAATAAAAAAAAGATATATTTCCATAATAAAAAGTGTACTTATAAATCAACCTTGGAATGGTGTAGAATAGTTATCAGGATCCAGGAATTTCCTCACAGGCAATGACGATGCCAAAATTGGATTCATTAGGACCAAGTTTAAATAATTCTGAAACAAATCACACACACCACAACTTAGTATCAGCAAATTATAAGATACACTGATCTGAGACTTAAACCATACATATCTTTGCTTCTGCATACACAAGAGAGGTAAGTTCTATACTAAAAGCTCAGCTCATCATGGCAGAGAGAGACACTTGTCTGCTATAGAGAGTTTCAACATTGGGTCATAGTTCCAAGGAAAAGTAGGTTATGTTTTAATAGCGCTGATTATGACACACTGGTGTAAAAGGGTTAAACGCAAATAGTACTAAATGTTCCGCAAACATCTGAACATTTCCACCAAAACCTTTTTGGATTACCTCTGTCAACAGGGTTGATATGGTGAATGACCATACATTGCTGATACGAGTCTCTTGATGTAATACCTCACACTATCAGTATGCTACGATACAGAAGGGCAGAGGCAACTGGTCAGTCACCCATCACCATGTTGCTAACCTGAAGAGTTTTAACAAGCCTTACTTAAGCTCTCTGCCATGCAGATTAGACAACATGTAAAGGGACAAATGTTAGGAGGGGTGAATGTTAAGGACTGGATGACAAAAATCAGTCGAAAAATGGGGACTCAGGAATTGCAACATGGTGACAGATATAGTCGGATGAGTAATGGCACAGCTGACTCTGCCTTTCTGTTATGTTGTACACCAACAGGTTGAGGAAACATACTGAAAAAGTGATATATATATATATATCGGCAACATATGGTCACTCACCACTGCCCGCTGATAATGGAGATAGAGGAGAGTTCTGAAATGTTGCTTTTTAATTCAACATTAATATGGCTGATCACCTGTGAAGATAAGGGCACATTTATTAAAAGTCAGAGCTTTACATCTTATGCATCCATATATTTCTCTCCATCTATATCTTAAAATCACTAAATCAGCAAGACTGCTCAGTGTATCACATAGCTCTGTAGTGCTTTCTTATCTAGTACAGCATTTACACATTATACGTCTGCAAGTATTTCAATCCCACACAAAGAGAGTAATATGGAATTATTGCACAGGTCTGACTCAAAATAAAATGAAAAAATACTTCCAATACATGCAGTACTTGGTTATCAACACACTACCTGAAGCCCGGTTTGTCTTTCAGCTATAAATTCTCTTCCCATATTTCCAATGAGTTTCTTTGGAGGAAGAGGGAGGTTAAGCCCAGAGACCTGAAGTAAATTATGGAGAGAAACGAAATCATTGTATCGCTTATATATGTGCCATGTCTTGTCTGGTAATGGTCCACGCTGAACACGTATGATATACTCCTGAAAAAAAAATAAACATCAGAGACATGTTCATTCATTTTCATTCATTCATTCATGTCCTATGGAATGAACTGTTACAATAAATCATAAAAGTTTTGTGTGCAAGGTTAAAACTGTATTCAAACAATAATTTTATTACAAAAATACCCTATGCCTAAATCAGTTTCTTTCTCAAATTAATGTCAATAAAAGTAAATTGGATGGTTATTAAAAAGAGCTGTCATTTGTCAGGGCTCGGTCATCACAGAGAAATTAAAGAAAATAAGTACATCCAAATGCTACTCATTAGTAAAACTCTCTTTTTCGTTCAAGTCTATTTCCTGTTCTCTTTCTTTCACCTCTTATTAGCTCTTTCTATTTTTTTCAAAAGTCCGTCTACTTTCTTCACAATTCCACCTGTTATTCTACGACACATAAATGGTTTTTCTTACTGAAGACATCTTCATGAAAATCTTTTGGAATTAAAGCAATGTGTACAACTGCGCAGACTTCCTTACAATACTTGTTATTTGTGGATTACTGCCCAACCCTAATGTACATGGGTGAAAATTAAACAAACAACATACATGCAGGAATCAAACACATAATTCTTTTCAAAACATCTCAGTAAGATATCTCAATTTTATAGAATTAAAACCAATAACATATGAAACTAAGAAAATCACAGTACCTTCCTTTGAGCTATGTCACTCCATAACACTAAACATAACTGTCCCTTGCTGTTCCTATTGCTTGCTCCTTCAAGGTATACATCTTGTGATGCCAAATTAATGTATAACACTGTTCTTCAAAATTTAACTTATATTTAGTACAGTAGTTAACTCATCTAACAATGAGTACTTGCACTACAGGGATTAGGTGAAGTTACTTCAGCAAACCTTTAAGATTCTCATGGCAATGAGTATTAAGAATACAGTCTGGGATGTATGGCCCTGCAGTAGATGGGCACAGTGGTGGAGTGTGATTTTCAAAATTGTTAGTCAAATCCCAAGGCACAGATAGGTCATGAAAATGCTGGCAACTGAGTATATGCATGGTACTATACAACTATGAAATCTGGGTTAAAATTTGATAAAGTTAAGGAATAAAATAAGGAGGAAATGTAAACTAAGGGAAAATGGTTAGTGGCGACTGAATCTGTCTTTTTCATTACAGCCTGTACTTCAGCACTGTAAGACATTTTTTCAAGTGAAAAAATCTATCATTTTTGTTATTGCTAGTGGGGTGGGACTAAGTCCCTTGTACTGTGGCCATTTCTGGCCTATTGTACCAGCCCCAGATGATAGGTGAGGGTGATTGTGGAGCAATTGGTGGAATGAAGATTGGCAGGGGAAACCGAAGTACTCAGAGAAAACCTGCCCCAGCGCCACTTTGTCCACCACAAATCCCACTTGACCAGACCGGAATCGAACCCAGGCCGCCGTGGTGGGAAGCCAGCAGCTAACCGCTTGAGCTATGGCACGGCCAAACATCTATCATGGTCACAGAGGTCTGGACCCTTTTCTAAGACTTGAAGAATTTTCTTTTCAATTGTCATTAATGATATCCTGGTGAGTCTCTTGTGCATCTGTGCACTCTGTAGGTAAGTAAAGACCCTTTTCAATGCAGAGAATGGTCACTCCACAGATGCACTGGTTGTTCAGACAATTAACAACAATGCAGATGATTTTGTGATTTTTGGTAATGTTGTACTCAGACTTTAAGTGATCAAATATCTGAGGTCTGAAACATTATTTTGTAAGAATTCTTCAGATGAATAAGTAATGGAAAGTTCAGTTATAAGAAAAATATAACAAAAATACTGTCCATATAATTTAATATAATTTCAATGATTCAAGCAGCAATTCAAAACTTTTCAGAGTAGCGTTTACAACTTCCAAAGTCTAGACATGAAGCAATTTTCACTTTGACAATTCTGAAGGACTGGCTGGTCAACTGCCTTTCCACAATGTCACTTATTTTACAGTATGGCTGGCAATAAGAACTTCTTGATCATTATTAACCACTGCAATTTGTTGTCACTTATCTGGCAATTCTGTGTGTTCATCTCCCTGTGAGCTGCAGCATCTGAAGTATAAAAAAGTAAAGATATCCCTGTAACAGGCTATGGAGGCCCATAGAGTTGTGAGATGTTGAGGTTTCCACATTTTCTACACAATCGGCTCATAGATGGCAGCAAGGTTGTCAGCCTTACATGCCGGCCACCCTTTACTCCCCAAGAATATTCCTGGTACTCATTTCTGTTAGAGGCTGAGTTGACCCCAGACCATATAATACTTCTTCTTTGGCTTACATGACAACTTGAAATGTCATGCACTACCTCCTCCCCTCAAACCAATATTATATTGAGACTTTACTATGAGCACATGCACATACAATTTTTTAAAAAACTTTACATTCGCAGGAAACTGCTGTGTTTGTGAAATGTTCTATTTTGTGTACTATGCATTGTAGCATATAAGTGTACGTACTTTACGTCTAAACAACTTATGTGATGGTGGTTTCCTATTTGTAGTGATGTTTGCCCTCTGAAGATGGTCCACAGAGACCGAAACATGTAAGGGTGTTAAGTTTTCATGTAGTAAAAAACTTACAGGTCACATTGGACGGAGTGATTTATATTTGTCATTGTTAGTGTGACGGACCAGAATGAAACAAATCAAACTGGCTAACAATGCCTATGATGGACTACCTGGTGCTGGTAGACTACACATTATCTGATTACTTCTCCCACCAACATATAGAAGTACCAATGAATCATGACAGAAAAACTTTATAATTATTTTTCCACTGTTAGCTGGGCTAACACAATTACCACGGATGCTCCTCTATACCTGTATCTTTATTTTAATTCCATAGATTCCTACTGGCTAGCAAAGCTATCAGATATAGAACATGGATGATGGATACCATTTCAAAGGAATCTACTGCCTGTCTTTAGGACAGAAGAAACCGTCTTCATAATGATCATAACGATACAATAACACATGAGGCAAGAAAAATGTGGAAACACCCAAAAAGCAATCACAATATTCACAAAACTAAATTCATATACACTATAACAAGTAAAATGTGTAAGATATTACATAGTAATATTAAGATGCATGTGCTGTTATAGAATCCTGCAATGCACACGACTTTTGCAGGCCAAGAAACCAAATCATACACATACTTTAACGGCACTTGCTCTACTGCCGAACTATTCTATACAGCTGATTCAAGGTATTACCTTTTTCTTCAAGCCTGGGATACAATTTCATAATAAAATATTTCTGTTATTGTACAACAGGCAAGTCAGGCTATAAAATATAGTCCTTAATATATATATATAACCTAGAGGTTTCCTTTTCTATTGCATGCCTTTTCTTACGCAACACTCCCATGTAAAAGTTGTCCTTACCGTGTGTCCCTGGATGTTCTGTGTATTCTCAAAACTACATGTCAACACTTGAGTATCATCTAAAAATACTTTTCTTCGAAGTTTCTTCTCAAACACAGCCATTGAGTACTACAACCTTTTGCCTGAAACGACATGAGTGCACCTAATATCAACCATAACAGAGTAAACTAACATCCCGTGAAGTTTTCCGCCATTTTTAAAAACAGAATGCACTCGAACCTGCGCACTTGGCATGTTATTTTTCATTGGTACTTTTATTACAATTAATCATCAAGCTCGATCAAACTGTTGTCAAGATCGTCAAGATGGTCAAGATACTGATTCCAATCGCATCTGAATTAGGAAGCTGTCGTAAATAAAATACTAATCTACATATATCTCCTTGTCTCTTCCCGCGAGGTTTTCTTGCACAAACTGTGCATGCGGTTATCATCTTTCCCATCTCATAACCCTTGATTAGATTTTCCTAATATTTGGTTGAGTACAAATTATGATTTCCTTCTTTGTGTACGAAATGATGTTCCATGATCATATAAAATAACGTTCGAAATTATAGATTAGTATATTTTAAACTTTTTAGTTTAGAAGACTGGAAAATGAGAATTCTTAAATTGAATTCCAGCAAGGAGATTGCATTGTATTTGTTCTTAACGTCGTCTTCAATGTTGCAAATATGTACTTCTCCGTTTTGGCTATTCCGTAAACTATCATACAGTAAACTGTAATGTGCACTAGTGCAAAAAGTGGTATATGCAACAAGAAAGAGAATGTAGAGCTATGTAGAGGGTGATACAATTGCAAGGGATATTTAAGCTTGTCATGATAAGATTTTTGTAGTGGAGACGTTGTCACTATTGCTCACAAATGGAGGCAGCCAAAAATTGAAATGTTGACAGATAATTTAGTCCATTATACATATAATAATATTTTTGCAAATCCATGAAGTTCGTATACAATGTTCGATCAACCTGCGTACAAATTTCATAATAAAGATTTAAATATGTGCATCAAGATATCTGACGATTATTGGAAATTTGAATTTAAATCGGGAAATGTGTCTAACATAACCAAGAGTATACCCTTCAAATATGTGTGGCTCCAGGGGTATATTGAACAGACAGCTGGAAAAGAGAAAGAAATTGCTATTGTCAGCGATGGTACAGGTAGAGTTAAGATCACACATTGCAATGCTGTGCCCGGAGGCAGTTCTTGGTTGGATAAAGGTATGCACATAATGTAACTAGGAACCTCTACTCAGGAATTTTGTGAATATTACTGGGCCAGTAATGAGACTTTGCCAAATACATCACATTGAGTTTCAAACTCAGGACTGTCATTCTTATTGGAACATTTTTAAAAGTTTACTGAAGAAAGTTTTATGTAAGTTTTCATACACCAAAGCTGCACTCCTGTCCCACACTCATGCTGATTCTTGCAGATAGTTACATAAGCTATCAGAATAGGCTTTGCAAAGTAATATTCAAAATATTAAGCATGCATATAATCTTCTAATCATTGCTAGGTAACTGCTGCTAACAATGCAACTCCAGACTGGTAACTGCTGACTCTTGACTGACTCGCTTGTCCAGTTGGTGCTCATTGTAGACCACATAGACAACATTGCAACCTCTAATGCTGCATCAGTATGTTGCCACAGAAACATGTTTACCACACCATTGCCAAGCAATCCAAGCATTGGTCATCTATTTATTCCAGCTTTCAGCCATCATGTCACAGTATTTTCCTTGGTAGCCATCATTCATGAAAGTGCATATCAGACCAACGGAAAAGAAGCGTTGGTAGCTGTACCATTGTTGCACATTTGACTCCGTTCTCATTTTGAAATCTTGCATGTATAATCAGTGTCTAATATCCAACTTCATGAATATCGTGGTCAAATTTATGCCCTGTGAAGGGTGTGATAATTCTTATACCTCCTGTTGAATTTTGTGTGGTGCCAACTTTGCAAAATATATGTTTATAACCATCTTTCACATTAATAATGTTATATTTTAGCGTCCTGTTGCACTGATTTATGTCCATGATTTATTCTGACCGTCTTACAGTGCATACATTTATTCACCTTCTCTCTTGCACTATATGTTTCGGCACTAAAGTGCCATCTTCAGGTGCCGAAACATGTAGTGCAAGAGAGAAGAGTAAGGTGAATAAATGTATGCACTGTAAGATGGTCAGAATAAATCATGGACATCTTTCACATTTTTCCTTAACTGTGTCACCATTTGCAAAAGCTGCTTTCCTGGTTGCATTCAAAATGATCCATGCAGCTGCATGTTAGTGCAGTTAGTGGATGTTGCAACAGAAATAACAGATTTAATTATCAGACACAGTTTCTCATTTAAGGTATGTTTTTAAAGAGTTATACTAGTATACTAATAAGCGGCCTCCGTAGTCTAGAGGTAACGTTCCCACCTCATGACTCATAGTATGCGGGTTCAAACCTGGCGGAGGTCGTGGAATTTTTAAGGGCGGAAAAATTCAGGGAACAAGTCCTCCGGGAGGGACTTTAAGCCGTGGGTCCCGTGTCGTAGCTTTACGGCACGTAAAAGAACCTCATATCTCCTAAGGAGATCACTGAGCCAAATTCAAGGACATTTCCTACCCAACAGTAGTCTCTAATGCCTCTGATAGATGGGGGAAGCATTATAGATACCGCCAAGCCAGTAGAGGCCGAACTCGCTGGCTTGCCCGGGACTGATGGTAAGCACCAGTATCGGTAGGGTATGGAGACTGGTAGAATATCATAGAGGGAAGCACAATAGATCAAACTGGTCGCAATGCATGGGGGAACCCACCCTCTCCAATAACTAACTAACCAAGTATACTAGTACTACTATTGTTATACTAGTAATAACCAAACTGCACAGTGGGGAACATTACTGCATATCAGTGTTGTGGTGATATCCATTTCAATAAGTATATGCATTATAATTATGCTTGTCCCTTTTCAAGAGTTGTTGCACTTTTACGCAGGCAACTGTTACTGCCAGAATTTGATTTTGTAGCTGCCCTCTTGTTGCAGGAAAATACTGTTCTGTGGTTGGAACCTTAGTCAGAGAATCTGGACTTCCTGAAGTTGCTGCATTGAAGCTCACAGATTTAAGTCAAAATCCTATTTTATCCTCCGTGTGGCCTCTTGAAGTGGAAGAACTTCAGCTCTTACTTACAGAACAAGCAATGCCTAAATTGTGTGGTTCATGAGACAGTTTTATCCGTAAATTGGGTGTTATATGTTATATATAGCTAGAACTCTAACTGTAACTTCCAGTCAATGTATCTTCTTATGTAACCTAGAGTCGGACATATAGAAAACATGTCACTGTTCGTATTGTTGTAGGCTTTGCCTAGCAACCGCTGTTTACTTGTCGTTGCTAAGCAATGAAGCTCGCGTTGTCACACTTGCTTGCATGTGGGCAGTTCCCACATCACCCCACCCCCCGCGGTGATGGTACCAGCAGAGGGTGGGTATAACCTTCTCTCGTGAGGGCGATCTGCTGGCCGAGCGGCAGTTCCTGCTTATGTGTGGGAACTGCCCACATTCAAGCAAGTGTGACAACACGAGCTTCATTGCTTGAATGTGGGTAGTTCCCACACCATATAACATGTAGATATTTGTAAAAATAACTTTATTGTTATCTACATAAAAATATATTAGCAAGGTTATTTTTAGTGTACTGTACATTACAAGTGAGCATTGCTTTGGATTCCTTTAACATGATTTTGTTGAAAAGTATAACGCATGCATTCTTCACAGAGACTTGCAAAACATGTGTTATCTTGAAATTCTGCATCTTATAAGATGACTGTCTATATCATGGTAATTTCATTGTATGAGCAATGAGGTATGCATAGCTACTGCATGATCACTTCATACTGAACAACATACTGTTTTACAGTCCTCTTTAAATAATTTAAACAACAGGATAATCCGATATGTTCCAGCACTTCAACTTTATGCTCTGAAAAGTAACAAATATATGATTTACGCTTGAATGCTTTTAGTAACACCCATAATCAATCAAGCTGCTTAATGAACACATTATTCATGTAATAAATTAGTACATAACTCTTCCATGCAATGATGCTGGTTAACAGTTAGCTCTTTAAATTAGCAAATATATCTCACACACATACACAAATATTTCCATATGTACAGGCAATAACAGACCCTGTTTTTGATGTAAAATACTCTCTGGGCATACAACTTCCTTTAATAAAAAACTGTCAAAATTATTCACATGTTAAAAAATATAAATACAATCTATTGCAATATGTTGTTGTGTAAAACAAATCTCATTTGTATGAGGAGCGAAGAAGGCATCCTTCAACGAAGTATATCAAAATGAAGCATTAGCAATTACAGGAATAATTTACTATGCTGTGTATAAGTACAGAAGTGACAATGTGCTGGCTTAGTGCCTTTAGCAACATAACATCCGATTTTCCAGCTGCCCATAAAATCTACTGTACTTTACAGTTTAGATTACCAAAGAAATAGGCCCTTCAATGACATGGGTGGTAAATCCAGCCAGAATGTGAGCCTGACCATCCACCACCACCTAGTGTTAAAGGCTGAGTGTGTGTACAGCTTTACCTCCACAGCCCCTGTATGCCATGAAGACATGTTACCTGAAGTCACAGGGTTAACTGCAACTTTTACCTAGGAGCATCTATAAAAATGCTGGATGGATCTCAGTGTTTGATGTCAAATTCCAAACAAATATTTTCAATATTTGGTTATTTTTATCACTATCTGTCCAGTTCCTTTATACAAATTCCAACCATCAGTGCTGTATTCAAAATCTAATACAAATTTTACCTCATTTTAAAATCATGTATCAAAATCACAAAGTTGATTTACATAAAGTACCTTTGTGACAATAATGCCTTAGAACACTTTGAAAATATGAAAATGATACCTCAGATATAGCACCAGGGAAGACATAATAGAAAATGTAATAATCGCAACACACGGCAGGTTTGCAATTTGATGACCAGGATTTTTTAAGAGCAACTGCATTCCATCATTTGACACTGGGAAATTTTTTAAGTAAATTAACTGTCTAGCAATATCACTCTTTTCTCTTCTATCATATCAATGTGGAAAGCAAGATCTGAGCAGTTTGTGGCACATACGTCAGAAGAACCAACAGCTTGGTATCAAAGTCAATATTGAGCATTACTTCTTTCTTTGTAAAATGGACATTAAAATTCTTTAATATAAATTGAGGAGTTGGATTTTAGAAACGTTGTTTTCACTGCAACTAGTGGCTTATAACAACTTACCAAGTTCAACAGTAGTCTCATTATGATTATGTACATCATATAATAAATATACAGTGCAATAATGGGAATGGTTACTGATTTAAGCAGACAAGCTCAGTCATGTGTTAAATAAAGTTAATTTAACGGAAGCAAACAACAAAGCAGTGTCTTACCTGCTGCCTCCTACTGTATGTCATAAATGTTGCAGCACTTTCACTCAGCTCATTTCTTGTCTTTGTATATCTTTCATTAGCATATCATTTCATTTTTATTTTATGTCATACTACATAAAAAAAGATCAATTTGGACACCTATTTTGATTTACTTACAGAAATTCAGGCACATAAGACAAAAAAAAAAGGCTAAACAAATTTAAAACATCACTATAGCTGACAAATTTTTGGAGCACATAACAAATAATTAGTTACAGTGTTTGTTTAGCTTTGTATTGTCTTTCTGTGTTGTTTGTTTGTGTTACGCTTGTGACCAGTTTCATGTCCATTGCATTTTGGAAATGTGAAATATATGTATGTATAGGCTGCTTATTCAGTTAATTACATGACTGAGGAAGTGCATAACAATAAATTAAAATACAGTTTTCATTTTATGTCCTGTGTACATATGTAGCCTTATTTCCACAATATTCCTCTCTGACCTTCCTCGTACTGTGTAACACCATACTGTTCCATGACCTTCATTATATGCATATTTTAATAGGAATACAGTATGTCATCAGCCACAGTGGAAGCACAGCACTAGATGAGTGTTTCTTACTTTAAGTATTTAGTAAAATTTATTCTTTAATAATTTAGCAGTCACTGAATGACTGACAGAATTTGTTCTTATCCAGTTCAGAAATTACACTGAATGGTGGAATCAACATGATTCATAATTAAGACAATTTTAAATTTAAATGCCATCACTGAAGGATTGATCAGGGGGCCTCTATTTATGTACATGAACAATAATAAATAAGCAAACTGTGGATGATGCTTTAATTCTTTCTTCCATGTTATATCAACAAACTATACTGACCAAGCGACCGCTGCTTGTCAGCAAAGTTAGTGCCAACTTTAGCAGATAGAGGGTGTCACATGGTTAGCGCAATGAGTCCCCACAGCCATTAATCTCGGTTTTCTAGACCAGAGCCGCGATTTCCTTGAAATAGCTGAGTGGATCCTGTTCCAGACCCACTACTTCTCAGAAAATTGGGTAGCACCAGGAATCGAACCCAGGACCTCTGGATCTGTAGCCAGGAACTCTGACCACTAGACCATCAAGATCAGTTCTTGTAAAATGTTACATACTACTGTTCGTTGTTAATCCTTAGGCTGTACTATCAACTCAAAAAAAATTATACAAATAAAATTCCATTGTACTAAAACTCTGATCCATCACCAAATGGTCAGTTAGGCCTATTGGAAAGGGTGTAAATTATATTTCTATTCTCTGAATTTTACAAATAGTAAAAATCATCACATTAATCACTCTCTTGAGGATTTCTCCTCTTATTCACACACCTATTCTCTTACATTATCACTTTTGATGGTATGACTGACCATCTCATCTGTCTGGAATGCAGTTTTGGAATTTACCCAGACACCATGATATTGACAACACCAGCTTTTGAAAATCAGTATCCTACTATGATATTGCACAACCCGTACTTTCTATTGCTTGTTCCCTTGCTGCCTCCATAACTGTTTGGTCTCTCATTTCATCTGCACCATTTCTCTCGCTTATCCTGTCACTTCCATTACCCAAATTACCCTCAAACCCAATATCAGTCTCATCAGTATTCTTTGATCCTATGCTTGGTCGGTCTTGGCTTGCAGTTCCTTCTGGTAACCTCCCATCACACTCTACTGTTGACAGGTTACTAGATCCAAAAGCCATTTGTCCGTTACTTGACTGATTCCCTCCATCCTGATTAGAACTTGTCCTTCGTGAACGGGATAACCTCGGTGAAGATGAGGACGACAGTGTGTTCTGCTGCTGCTGTTGTTTACTGCTGAGTAACTTATTCAATACAGCTACTTCATTCTGGATGGCTACTGTGAATGGTTTGTATCCCAAGCTGAGTATTTAAAAAGAAACACACTTATAAAGTGCCACTAATGAATGAGAGATATACAAATTTAAACACACACAACTACTCAGTGCAAAACTTTCCAAGCAGAAACCACAGAAAATAAAACTATTCTAGCCAATTCAAACTCAGATTCTATACAATACTACTTATTTATTGACTAGTCTACAGCCTAACAAATCTAAAATCAGATAAATATGACAAGTTATCCATTATGAAGACATTACCATTCAGTGCCACTCCAATGACACAGTGCCACCAGACCATCCTTGAGACGAAGAATGGCCTCCACAGAATGATCTGATGACCGAGCAGCGTTTGTGGTACGGAAAACTGCCATGGCATCCTGCAGCAGTATAGAGATCAACAGTGCCCATTCTAAGCAGCTTGCCTCCATAAATAGCTGTAGAAGATACCTGCAAAATAATTTTTTCTTCAGCAAAAATAAAGTGAAATCTGTAAACTGGGGCAAGTAAAATCATAGACGAAATATGCGGGACTACTAAAACTGTAAATAGCCAATATCAACATTAAAACTTGGCCCTTTACATCAGATTAAAGAAATTAATACATATCCACATAATTCTTATGTTAAAGAATCAGGAAAGACATTTGAAATGTTATACAGATATAACCCTTCAGTATATTTCATAAATAACAACTGTTCAAATTATTCTGAGATTCAAAACTAGGGCATTTTTGGAAGGAGTCTTAATGCTATACCAAATCTGAAACAACAAACTTAAACCACTATACGTGGTGTGTTCAAAAAGTATCGAACCTTTGGTCGGCAGAAATACATTTATTGATTTGGAGGTACAAAACCCTAATCCCCTTCAAAGTAGTCTCCTTGGTAATGCACACACTTCTCCCAGCGCTTCCGCCATTGTTGGAAACACTTCTGGAACGCGTCTTTTTGAATGGTGATCAGCCAGGCCGTCACATTCCGCATGATGTCTTCTCTTGACTCAAATTGGATTCCTTTCAGCGGCATTTTCAGCTTGGGAAATAGCCAAAAGTCACATGGAGCCATGTTGGGGGAGTAGGGAGCCTGACGAACCACACGGATGTTGTGTTTGGCAATGAAAGTCTGAATCAGATGCGCAGAATGGGTGGGTGCATTATCATGATAGAGCTGCCAAGTTTTTGCTGCCCACAGATCTGGTTGTTTGTGCCGCACAGCATCACGAAGGTGACAAAGGACCTCCTGGTAGTATTCCTTTGTGATGGTTTGGCCTTGTGGTGCGTACTCATGATGCACAACCCCATGGGAATCGAAGAAAACGGCCAATATGACCGTGACATTGCTGTGGACCTGCCATGCTTTTTTTGGCCTCGGGGATGTCGGATGTTTCCACTGTGACAACTGCATCTTGGTTTCCAGGTCGTACCCATAAACCCACAATTCATCGCCTGTGATCACAGTGTTCAGAAAGTTGGGGTTACTGTTTGCATTGTCCAGCATGTCCTGTGCGATTTCCAGACGGCATTGCTTCTGCTCCACTGTTAGCAGTTTCGGTACAAATTTTGCAGACACTCTCCTCATGCCCAAATCCTCAGTCAAAATTGAATGTACCGATCCAATGCTTACCCCTATCTCATTTTCAAGTTCTCGGACTGTGATACGACAGTCCTCCATGACCAAAGTCCACACTTGCTCAATGACATTCTCATTTCGGCTTGTTAAGGGTCTGCCTGAACGCGGTTCACTGTCCACTGATGTGTGGCGATCTTTGAAGCGGTTGTACCACTCCTTTATCCATGAGTTGCTCATGGCATCGTCCCCGAAAGCCTGTTGAATCTTGCGAACGGTTTCCGCTTTGGTATCGCCAAGCTTTTGGCAAAATTTGATGCAATATCACTGCTCATGTTGTTCCATCATTTTACACCTTACTGGAATCCGACGAGCGCTCACTACACGTCCTCACTCATAGGCCGACTGTCAGTGACTGATGCTTTCTGCGGGCAGGAAAAAATTCACGACTGCACATGAATGTCCCCTCCACATCTACACTGAATGGAGCCTCCCGCGCTTCATTGGTTTACGCGGAAAAAAGATTTGATACTTCTTTAACACACCACGTATTTACACATTTTCTTCTAGAGTCTTACTTATAGACTAGGGATATTCAGTTAATGTGGATCACTTCTGAGGACATCAGACAAGATCCAAACATAAAAGCACTACAAAAAAGTTTAATCTTCCACTAACTTCTAAAATGGAAGAACAAAATACTGCTTACTCCCAGTGATAAGGGGGACGACAACATTAACTAGCAACTATGAAGCACAGAAGATGCCCAGTGGTCCAAACATCCATAAAGTTCTGACTGCCACATGTGCTGGGGAAGGCATACAGAAAAAAAAATGTGCACTGAAATGATTCTCTCATCACTGGCACCTAGAATTCTGAGCACCAAACAATACAGTAGAAATTATATATCCACAATCCCCCCTCTCAGATGATTCATAGCCACGGAATTTATTAACCTATATTTCATTAGTTCAAGACACAATGACATATTTGTACACAAGCAAAGATTACACGAGGTATACAGTAAAATCCCTGTTTAAGGTTTCTTTCAGCAGGAAGATCTTAAATGGGGAGGAGAGTTAACACTGAAACTGCTGCTTTAAGATCGGTGAAAATGAATGTTAAATAAGGGAAAACTGAAATCAAGGAATATTTAATGGATATTCCACTGTATTTCTCTTGTTAAAAATCATACTAACATTTTACATTACCTGAGTTTCACTTCAGATTTTGGTGAACCTTTATTAGCTAATTCTTGTGACAACTGTTCAAGGACCAGTGTACTTGGGACATCACTCCATCTATTTTCACTTGCATCAGGCATGTACTGCTCCCGTTCATCCCCCCAGAATGAACTCTCCTCACTCATCATACTGCTCTCATCTGCTACCATAGGAATCATTCATTAAACTAGCACATAAACACAAGTACACTGAAACTCACTGTAACAAACATTTTCATATAAATGTATCTTTACAGAAAAGGACTTTCTTACACAGTATGTCGTTACTTTGAAATGACCCATGCATGGCAGACTTCAGGCAGAAAGTAAGCTATACAATGATTTACTATCTAGAATAGCAGTGGAAAAACTTTTCAGACTGTGAGTTTCATAGGATGCTCTTACAACTTATATGGCTCAGGAAGGACAAGGTTAACAGATCACAATAAATTATTCTCAAGTGTACCTTGCAGAAGATGAGGCATAAGCTGTGCTTCGACAATAGAACTACTTCGGAATTCACTGGTCATCGACACACTGGCTGTATAGTGTGACGACCCTGCTACTGCTGGGGCTGGAACAGCACTAGAATGGACTGTTTCACGCTGACCACCTGCATAGCTCATGTAGCCACTATCTCCAACCCTGCTTCTTCCATTGGCATCTGGGCTTACCACATCCACTGTAAGGGATTTCATACGATCCTCAATGGTAGGAGACGATGGTGAGGAGCCTGAATTAAACATTTTCAATTCAATCTTTTCTTCACACAGCTCTTAAACAACATAAACAATTCTGTGCACATTTAAATGCAGAATCTGCTACGATATCATAATATTCATAGTCCTGTCATTCATTAGACAACATAAATTGAAACTCCAACAAACCTATTCATTGCCCATATAATTAGAATTTTACATTTAATTCTTGCCTTAAACTCCAACTTCAAGTTACTACTGTTGTCTGTGAGGTTTAATCTGAATGAAATTATACAACCCTCATCTTCTTGCCCAGTTAAGAAAATTACTCTAGCATATAAGTTTTAAAACCCTAACATGTATGACAAGGAAGAAAAGGAATGCATACAGAATTTTTGTATTGAAGTCTCTTTAATATATACACATACACTACATGATACCTGTTTAATGTCCCTTATTTACAATTCAATTTATATGGTCCCAGCCCAATTTTCTGTGTTCAATTTTATCCAGACACATTTTTCTCATGGATACTGATAGCCTATAGGGATAGGCACTAGCCTCTCATGCCAGAGATTCTAGACAGGTGTATGTTTGAAATCAGTATATATTATTCCACATGCCTTTCTCACCCCTAACCTCTATAAATATCAAAACTTCGTAGATATGAGGAACGTAAAGGACCCATTACAGTTACAAGCTCACATTAAGCTCTCATTTCCTTCTGCTGGTCATAAATAAACAGAATACTACTTTATTTGTATTTCATCCAGAGATACACTTCTCCATCACTTGTCAAAAGATGAAACATTAACTGCAGGCATCAGATAATCAATGAATAGGTCACCCATGTTTAGTATTCAAAATCATGTTCCTTAAAACAGGCACAATATAAAGCAGGACTTCACTGTATTAGAAGTGAAAACTTGCAAAATGTTGTGAGATTTGAGGTTTTCACGGAGGTGACTATGAAGAAAGCCATCTTCTGGGATGTGGCGCCGTGTAGAAATTGTGTTAACCGTCGTTTCGGAGGAAATGTTACTGACAGGTTTGCAAATTCAATGTCTTGTTGACCCCTGCCAATTCTGATTAACATCGGAAAAAAGTAAGGGTCACTTTACATGGAGACCTACATGCATTTCTTTCTGCACCTCAAGCATAACTTGAATACAAACTGCTAAACATTTCTGAGTGAAAAAACGATTCAAATAAAAGGTGTAATGTAAAATGAAACATATTTTATGACCAGTACATTTTTTCCATAACTCTAAATGTTCTGAAATAACAAGTGGAGTGAATATACCAAATTTTTACACCATACATACATTTCCTAATTTGTTTATATTCACAAATTACCAAGAAATCTTGCTGAAACCAGTACCTGAGGCTGAATTCTTCCACTGCAAGTAGTATGATACAGGATGACAAAGCACTGGATATGGCCACATAAAATCTGAATGTAGTTGTTTGAGAGCTGCCACAAAATCATCCACTCTGGCTGCTCTATCCCTTTCTCTGCCAAGCCATGCCACCAGATGGAAATCCAGGTGTGCAGCAAAGTGGCCAAGATCAGTTAACCGATGAGCTGAGAGAAGGCGACGGGCATGGCGTTGCAAGATAACATCTATAAAGAACTCTTCTGCTGAACCTGATGGCTCTCTGCAATTTCAACCATAAAGAATTCCATATCTTTGTATTCAAGAAGCACATTTCTGTAACTCAGGAAAGAAGATATTTAAAGGAACCTGAGATGTAAAGGCTACAATGCACAAATATAGTCTATGCAAAACACATCATCAGCTAACCAAGCCTAGATATGAGTTCTGTATAGCTCCCTGTACAACATATTAAGCAACTGCATGAGCAGCACAGGTATATGAGTAGAGCTCTAACAGCAACTACTCCCAGACTGCCAGATGGTCTAGTGATTAACATAACAGCTTAGTATTCAGTGGTCCCAGTGACAATCTAAAACAGCGCCACAAGTAAAAACAATAATGAAAAATCTGCACATATGATGAAAACTAGCTCTTTAAGATGAGAACAGAGTCACCACTCAGAATTTCTGTATATCACATATGCCTCAAACAATGCACATTACCCAAATTAGTACTGCTACAGTACTCGTATAATCATTACAATCTGCATGCAAAAAATATTACTATCAGACATCACCTTATTAGATATGTTTCTTTTTCAAGTTTGAGTCGGATATTAGGTTGTGCTGATTGACACAACCATTGCAGGTGTGTCAACTGAGAATCAATCGATTAAAAAAAATTATATTCCAATTTCATCTCCCTTACTTAGAACTGAATTTAACTACACTTTAAATGTAACATAACTACATCATTATTCTAGAACATCTGAATCTTCACCAAGACTGTAAACTGGTCAGTTCTTCTCAGCATGAAAAAAACATATTGTCATAAAATTCTTAGATATTTTTACCAAACTTCTCATGGAAAATAAAGTTTAATTCACTGTCAGATTCACCTCAGATTCTATACCTTGTATCTCCCCGCCCAGTAGGAACAGATTTCTTTCGTCTCAAAGGAACCGACTTGCTGCATTCTCCACTACTGCTGGTGGAACGCAATGCATCTCTGTGATGTCCTGTCACTGATGGAGCTCCTGATTCAATCTGCTGAACTTTAGGGGATGTTGTAGTACTGTAACTACGGCCCCGAGATACCTGTCAAAATTGTGTTTTCAAGAACCTGAGTAGTTTCATGTCAGTATGTAAAAATATGAACATCATGTCTACCCAATTAATATTCTCAATCATTTAAACACAAACGGATTTACAACAACAAAACCTGAAATTACATAGAGACTCTTGCTTCATGTGTAGGAGATATTAGCTTTGAATCCAAGGCAAGACACAAGCTGCCATAAGATGTTATGGTTTTACTCACACACTCTCAGTAAATATCTGGACAGAACAATAAAATAAGCCATGACTGCTTCATCCCATAATCTTCACAACAGACAATATGTAAGCATCCATGTTATTTTATGCAGCTGGTATTATGTACACATAGAAACCAAAACTAAAGGTGTAATACTGTACCACTGTAAACAAGTTATACATCAAACTTCAATATGTGTGGAGAATTAGTAGACTAGAGGTAAGTTATGTACTCTACAATTTCCACAACGGATGAATTTATATTTGTTCCTTAGTTTATTAAAAATGTTCTTTCAATTATGTAGGCCGTACAGTAGTACACAAGAGCATAAATATGGATGAACTGGAAAGGATGTGGAAAGAAGTACTAGCCCTCTTTTTAGGTACTATCTCAGAATTACCATCCTTTCCCATAATATACTTACTTAATCTGTAAGGCAAACACCCGTTAAGGGCCAACTAACAGACACTCTATACAGAACTTTTGCATCTGTACAAACCTGCATTGTACCAAGAACAAGAGAAAGATCCTCCTCATTAGGGCTGATGGGTGGAGTCTGTGGATTCACTCCATACTTGGACGGAAGAATGAAAGAGGCACGAGGCGATTCAACATCATTTGGATCTGTCAAGATGAAGATTCCATCAGAAAGAAAATTACAGACTATGGCTATGACAGACATTTTAATATAAAATTATATGCTTACCAATTGCTCTGAGAAATCGTACAAGATCTTTGGATAGTTCCCACTTGCAGTGATCTAAAGCTGCATCCAAGAGCAGTGTTGCATACTGCCTGCTTACTGAGGAAGGTTCTAGGTTCTGTAACAGTTTATCAGAGCTTAATGTAAAAAGTAAAGCTCTTCTTGATTTATAAATATATTTAAAGTGGTTCACATCATTCATAAGAAAATTTTTCATTGTAGGAAGCCCATCTCCAGGCTCCTATAAACATAAATAATACACCAACTTTCAAGTAATCAGTATTTCAGAGGAACCCCCAGCCTCCATCTTCTGTGCAGAACAGAGGTAGGAGGTTCCTTCAAAATGTTGGTAGCTATCAACCAGACTATATGTCATTATATCCCTGAAGACAGTTCAGACATACAGTCTTACTTTTTCCAAGATCATGACTTTAGGAACATTGTGTAATTCCAGAGCCATGCTTTCTTATGCACAGAATAGTATCACTTATGATTCAGATCCCCAGCCCAAAATACCATATTGAAAAAGCTAATACATCACTGCATCACAGACTGGAGGCAGTTCATCACAAAGAGGCAGATAGCCTACCGAAATGAAAGTGAAAAGTTTTACCATACTGTAAAAGGTAAAGTAAAAACTGCCTCAGTTAAGAACACAAAACAGAAAACTGAAAGATAAAATAAATCCAGAAAGTGAAAAATTTAACAGAATTCCCTTAAATGCCAATTAAAATTCTGATTACTAGTGGATGACTGGGTGAGTAAATGAGTCAGGGAATGAGTGTGTGTGTGTGTGAGGGGGGAGTATTTTACATTATACAGCAGTACATCTGAAAAGGAAGAACAGTACCAATACTTGCATCAACTCAATTTCTTTCAACACTCCTATTTCTGTCACCAAATATCTAAGACATCAAATATTCCTGTTAGCAACTGACCATGCCCTGTTACTTTAGAGAATAAGATCAGATAATTCTGAGATGTCATATATTTTAATTTTCACAATAAAAATTTCAGAAAAGTCATTGCAGCATTTGAGTAGAAATGATATTCATGAAAAACGAATATTTAGTCTCAACAGCGGATGATTAAGAATTTGCCTGCAGTACTAACCTGGAGAATAATGAGGTAAGATGCAGCTGTATCCAGTTGTTTTCTTGCCAAACACTCCTGGAAGAGATCTTTGGGTTTGCCAGCAGCCGAGAATAAATATGGCCACAGTGCAATCTCAGTCTTCCGTGCACATTGCACGACTGTCTGAAGGTAAACTGGGAACTCTTGGATGAACTCAATCACACTTGGCAGCAATGCATCAGGAATTGGCTCTTTACTGGTCGCTTCTTCTTCCAGCACCTGGCAATCAATAAAGGATTGAAACTTCAAACTTATGCCCCAGCTTTGTATTACTAGCTTCATATTTTTCAATGATTAAATCACCACACACAACTTCAATATCCTGTACAAATACTGGTAGTGGTCTAGAATGAACGTCTCTAGTCCTGTTGCCAGTTTACAAGTTCACAGAGCTGCAATGTGTGCGTTATTAATGACACGAGCTTAAAGAATATTAAGTTGAGAAAGGTCTCAAGTGGCATGATATTCATGCCATAAATTTCAAACAAATCAATCACTTACTACTACATCTCAAGCAGGAGCCAGACACATACACACACAGCTCACTAATAGGGTTGTAACGGAAGAAACTCAGCTCTTTCAGTACCTGATCAGAATAACCTCAAACAGCATAACCATCCCAACAAATCCCATGCAACTGCACTTTCAGAAAGCAACCTAAAAGTGGAAGACATAGAAATTGTACCTCATGAAGTAATAACTCCAGTGAATGGGGGAAGTATGGAAGACTGGTACAACTTCGGGCAATCTCCCAAGCATGGAAGCCCAGATTTCGGCGTATAAGCTGACGCAATATTTGATGGAGGTACACTTGACTCTGAAACAGTATAAAATTAAATACAAGGTATTCTGCAGTGAAAGTAACGTGAAATGCCATGTGATGTTAATAGACATATACATGGAAATCTGAAATATATTTTAAAAACCCACACAAAAAGAGAAACTTACTGTTCGCTCCAGAACACAGAAGGGTAGAGAAAAGGGTGAATTTGAATCTGAAGTATACAGCGTTGTATCATTTTCAGCACCCAAGAGTATAGCATCCTCAAATAAAATAGCTACAAATGAAAACACACAACATAAAACTTGGTATCATGTTCACATAAATTCACAAAATAAAGTAATTAATCCTTTGCCATGTCTAACATAGCAAGACACAGCAGAACTGACTGTTTTCTGCTGAACTTATACTGAAAAGCATATGATAAAACATTTAAATTAGCTGATCTGACAGCATCAGGACACATTTATATAGTGCAGCAAAGGGAGCAATTACCACAAGACAAAAGGTTCTGGAAAGAATGGTAGCAAACAATACCCAAATTCAATCTCCTCTTAATTCCTTTCTGAGTCAAATTTTGATTTGTTACTGTCATTCCCAAGTATTTTAAATATACCACATTTTCAAAAGAAGTGTTAGCTATCTTTATGTCATGATTCTGCCCTGCATTCTGGTGATGAGACAGCAACATATACTTAGTTTTCACTGCATTCATTTCTAGACACAATACACTCTACCTATATAAACAGTAAAGATGGAGGAAGAAGAGGGAAAGGGGTGAAAGTAAAACCCTGAGCCTGTCTGGACAATCTGATATGAAGAAAGACTCTTGTTACAGCTAGGAATTGAACCCAAGTCATCCATCTTACTCCGAGCTACCACAGCTCACAACATCCACATGCTACTTCTAAACTGAGAATTAGACTGAATACACGTCTTCCAATGGATTTAAAAAATCTTCGTAAGTAAACTCCACTAATTGCAACACGTGTAATTTCTCACAGAGAGCTTCCTGTAATGAAAAGAAAACCTGTTAACTACATTCTACTCTTATCCACAAGATGTCTCTAAGTGCTCCTTTATCTCTGCACTTTTATAAGCTGTAATTGTAACTGAACTATACACTCTCAAGCCATTTTTGAACGAACTACAAAAGATAAAAATAACAAGTATTTACAGTTGGTTAGTGATTTAACTTAAAAGGACACTAAATGGGGTCTCTAAACAGAATATAAAATACAACTGATTCCTCAAAGATGGCTTTGTTATAGAATCCACAACACTTAAAGCTTTCAGGTTTAATATCAACAGACACATTGAAGATTACATGTAGTCCCATCCTTACCAAGTGAGTCTACTGAACCGACATATTTAACCAGTGAACTCAATGTACTAATGAAAGAAAAAAATGTTGCAGAAACTTTGTAGCAAATTTGTGTATCAGTATAATATTTCCAGAATTACCAGTAGAGCTCATATTCAGCACCATAAAAAAAGAGCATTAACATTTCCACTGATACTAATACAGTTTTAGTCAAATTACTGCTTTATTCAAAATTAATTTCTAAAAATGTACACTGTATTTGTATTAACTGTGTATATAAACTGTTTTCCCCCTTATTTTAATATAATACACTAGAATGTGGTACCTAGTGGATATATCCTGAGATGAAAAGGTAGCATTATTCTCTTGGACATAAATGAATGAGATTTGTCTCCATCTCTGGGAAACAATGGTAGCCACACCATCATTCCATGAGCACCACAGAACAGCCACAGGGATTCAGTCAGGTGAGGTTTCTCACGTCGGGACTTGCGAGGGACCCAAACATTCTCCACTCGTGATGCCAAAACAGTGGGAGGAGCACAGGTGTATGACTGAAACTAATCAATAACACCACAGCTATAACCTTCACAACATAAGCTTCCAACAGCACTGAATTCTTATAAACCTTTATTATGAGCATCTTATTGTGTATACTTTTTTCAGTTGACCTAATCCTTCTAGTTGCACTAGGCCCTGGGGTTTACTCAGCCTCTAACAGAAATGAGTACCAGGAATTAATTAAATAATTTTCCTGGGGAGTAAAGTGTGGCCGGCGCAGAAGGCTGACAACCTTACCACCATCTCTGAGCCGATTGTCTAGATAATGTGGGACCCTCAACGTCTCACAACTCTATGGGAGTTCACAGCCTGGTACAGGGATAGCTTTACTTTACTTACTTACTTTACAGTTTCAAATGTAGAGGTTATAAAGCCTGCGTGTCTGCTTGTTGCTGGCAAACAAGAAAAATGGAGAACATTTTTGTTTAGATAATGTAACTGAAATACGATACCTGGAAGATCAAGATACCGGAACAAATATTTGTTATAGAGGTTCTGAAGAAATTAACTGTATTAGGTTAAGAATGTGGTTCAATAGTTGATTCTTCTCATAACAAAGAATGAATTTCAATTATATAACAACAGAAAATTTCCTGAGCAAGCTTAGAGACCAAGTCGACTGGCTGAGACTAGCTCTAACAGGCTACAACATTCCCTCCCTTACACCTGATGTCAGAAACAGGTATAATTTCCAAAAGAGTGTTTGTAAAAATTCAAGATGATGGAAAGTGTCTAAAATAATAGTCAAATTTATTGTCATGCCATCATCACAAACATTTAAATGTATCATCCCTATATGCATCACAACACTTGGTTAACATCAAACAGAGGTTATATATGGAAGAATGAGATGGATATATGATCATGAACAATTAGTAGGCAAGAAATTGGAAGGAGGTGGTCATAACCTGCCTCAAGGTTATCCTGCTAATCATCTGCGAAGACTGAATAAAACCATAAAAACTTCAATCAGGATAGCTGATAACAGTCAAGATTTCAACTGGATACTTCCTGAACATAAACTTGGAGTGTTAATCACTACATCAACTAGCCCAACTAGTGATGACTTTCTCATTGAAAATGAATCATGTCATGGATCTCTTAGAAGAAGCAATGTGTCATATACAAATTGCAGGTCAAGCTAAAGCCAATATGTATGAAGCAAGGGCAGAAAAATTCCTTTTTAGCAGATATAAAATCAACACTATCTAATTCCAGATAGCAGGTTTCAATAACGTGTAAAATTAAGACATTTCCATCAATCACTGTCAATGACAATACATCCTACAATCGTGCTTACATACTATTTCTTATCTCAGTCACACAGGCAGATAAGCAACAGCAAGAGAGCTATCAAAATATGAATGTGACACATGTGAAAATCTTTCTATATCATCTACAGAGGTTTCATGCATTAATATACACACCAATCCTTTGTATGATAACTCATTACTTTATGCTGAATATATGAAAATTATTTTTAATAGTCTTTTCCCAAAACAGATACACCTTAAGTAGGAATCTTGTGGGACCACGTGGTTTGGCAGAAGTCCACTAAAAATTCTAACCATCAGCAAGAAACGGGCAACACGTGGGCAGCAAACACAGCCACCTGCTTATTGCTGGCTTCTTACTTGACTTACTCATTGGTATTGAAGATGGAGATTATATGTTCCTTCAAAAGTCAGTGAACTTCTACCAAACTGCATTTCAATACAATCCAAGGAAAAATTTTAATTACCTAAATTAAACACTCAGCTTACTGACACAGAATCGGTGAAATTTAACAACAAATGAGGGAAATCCTTAAACTGAGAAAACTAAACAGTGGTTCTGCTGTAAACAGTTAAATACACATATTTATCCCATGATACTGTATGCTCTAATGCTTCCATTTATACTCTTCTGACTTCAGTACATCTGACCAACTTATGACTAAACATCTCTAACATGTGTAGCCATTCAGAGCCTAACCCCCATAACAACAGCTCCTTGATCCCATTAATATATCAGCTTGGAATGAAAGAAATCTGTCTTGCTTCCTAACATCTGGTTAAAGAGCTGACTTGCACCTCACAGTGAGATCTCAGAAAGCCATGGATCCAATGTATGACAGTAATTTACCTACCACATTGCCATCACTGTTGTCATCTCCTTCCCTACAGTTCTGTTCCCGCTGAACCATAAGCAATCTGCCGCTCACATTCAGCATAATACTTTCAACCTCTTTTGATGCATGGCGACCAGTTTCTGTACGAAGGGTCGTTAATGTCACAGACACAACACAAGCAGGATGAACACACAATGCACTGATATCCACACTCTGCAGGATTCCCACCTCAACACCACCTACTACAAAAAAAGATATATACATGTACCTCATTTATGTCTTCACATTTTTGTATGACCACAATGTGTATGCAAAACAAGAGTGAATTAACATACAATTACACTCCATCATCCTCCTTTAAAAGTCCCAGTGCATAACGCATCTACTCTGCTTACAAGAATCTAACACCTGAAAATGTCTATGAGTTCAAGCCATGCAGTGCTTTTCTAGCTTTTCAATGCCCATAATTGCATTTATTTATGTATGATTTATTAAGTGAATATATCCTTTATGGCTGAATTAAATATTTTTCAGTATACCAAAAATGGTTCACTGCAATAAGAACACATGTATAACATAAAGTACATAATCAAGTTTAAAATATATCTCATAAAGTATTGTAACATGTTGCGCGACTGAGAACCCCCCTCC